TTCCATTGTTGTTGTGTGTTTTTTTTTTCAGCAAGTCGAGAAACACTGGTGTTTTTGGCGATAGTGCGAAAGAAACGGGTATAGAGGCTGATGTGTGGAGATTTTATCTGCTTTATATGAGACCAGAGTCACAGGATACTACGTTTAGCTGGGACGATTTTGCTTTGAAGGTTTCTTTCGTTCAACTCAGTTCATGCCAAATTTCTCGAGCTTATTCAAATTCAGGTCAACTCAGAACTCCTCGCGAATCTGGGCAACTTCATCAATCGTGCCCTATCATTCCTTTCTAATAATTTTGGAGGAGTTGTGCCTGAAATGCATCTCAACGATACAGATTTGGAGTTGCTGACAGGAATCCAGGTGTGTTCATAGTCATCTACTAAAAAGATCAAGTGATTGTTGTGGGATTTGTTTTAGGAAGATTCTATCGAATGGGATCATCAGATGGATTCTGTGCATCAGAAAGATGCTGTTCGGACAGTGTTAGCAATGTCTAGACGTGGTAACCAATATATGCAATCTCAACAACCTTGGGTACTCATAAAAGGCAGCGACGAGGACAAGTGAGTGGTCATGTTCATTTTTTCACTGCTTTTCTTTTTCTTCATACTTACACTTTCTTGATATATACTTTTCGACCCTTTACAAAGCTGTTATTTCCATCTGAAAAGGTTCGAGCAAAATGGAGCGTTATAAGGTTTCAGTTTCCGGCAGTTTGCTGTTGGATAGGCAAGACATGGGAAGTTACGCACAAAATTCGTGCTATATTCTTTCCCCATAGGAGAAAATATAGTGTACCATGGCTTGCAGCAAAACCTATCCAGTTTGTGCGGGCCTTGCCTCTCTTCCATAGTATTTGCTTTTAGGAAACGGGCTGGTACGATCATAGGTGTGGCTACTAATATCTCCTATCATCTCGCTATTGTTTTGCATCCCATCATGCCGGAGGTATCTCTCCTGTTGAATACTCAATGTATTGCAAATAATCTTTCTATAGATATCTGCACGGATTCGCGCACAGTGCGGCGCAGAGGCGTTACCCGCATTTTCTGCCTGTCCCATGTCATATCTGAAACCTGGACATAAGATCGGCACCGTAAGTTTGCAGTCTGATGTGCTTTTCAGTGACCTCTACCTTGTAACAGTACTGTCTTTTTCCAGCCGAGACCGTTATTCACGAAGATGGAGAATGCAAAAATCCAGGAATGGAAAGCGAAGTTTGGAGGAAGTGCGGTTGCTAACGCAGAACCACAAAAGAAAGTAAAAGGTGTGGCTATTTGTCTTAATTGATTCTACCATAGTTTATCTTTGTTCTTTGTTCTCTTTTCTTTTTTTCTCTGTGTTTCATCTTTGAAATCTGTCAGATCTGAGTTACTTCTCCTTTTGCAGCCATGAAAATTATTTCCTTGATATTATGAAACACTCATCCATGCTTATTGAGCACAAACACAGTGTGCGGACGGTTTTTACGTTTTGGTGCGTTGTATAGCAGTTGCAAGTTTTTCGACTGTGTAATCAGAAAAAGCAAAAAGCCGAAAATGAAAAAAACGCTTTGCGAGATTCTCTCCATTCCACGCAAAATTCTTGCTCACATTTTTTTAAGTCAAGTTTGTGCGGTTTGGGGTTGCGGAGATATCTGGTCATCCTTAATTTCTTAGTGCAACGAACTTGGTCCGCAAACTTGCATAATGTAGTCCTTAGGTCCTCTCTCCAATCCACTTTCAATGGACCTAAGACGTTCTATCCCAAGCTTTCAACGCACTCTGCGCTCCTGGTTAGGAATCCACTATGGCATTGCGCACAGCTCATCAAGCATGAACTTATCCTACAAAACTTAAACTTGAACTTATCCTTTCGAAATATAAAAGAGACGGAAACGGTCTATTCAAGCCTTCGTGCCTTGCTTTGTCTCTCATTCCATGGTTTATTGCCAGCTTGGACAGCCTTACTGTGCTGTCTTTTAGGTTGTTCGCTATCGGAGAAGCACGTCC